TGAGTGTGTTTGTGTGTGCGTGAGTGTGTTTGTGTGTGCGTGAGTGTTTGTGCGTGTGTGTGTTTGTATGTGTGAGAGCGTGTGTGTGTTTGTGTGTTTGTGTGTGTTTGTGCGTGTGTGTGTTTGTATGTGTTTGTATGTGTGCGTGAGTGTGTTTGTATGTGTGCGTGTGTGTGTGTATGTGTGCGTGTGTGTGTGTGTATGTGTGCGTGTGTGTGTGTGTGTGCATGCGTGCGTGTGTTTGTATGTGTGCATGCGTGTGTGTGCGTGTTTGTGCGTGCATGTGTGAGGGAGCGTGTGTGCGTGCATGTGTGAGCGTGAGAGTGCGTGTGTGTTTGTGAGAGTGTATTCGTGTGTGTGTGAGAGTGTATAGTGTAGTAGGGTCACCTGTAGTGCAATGTGAACCCAAGATCCCGATTGAGGCCATCCACATGGGTACCAAACTTGGCTATCAGCCTCTGCTCAGCAACTCTGCTTTGTTGTGTATCCCAAAGTCCGCCTTGGAGGACATTTACCCAAAGATCCAAGGTGGAATGACCTTAACTGCTGAAGTGTTCCTCCATTGGGAGTGAACATCCCTGTTTGGCGATTGTTGTGCGGTGTCTATTAATCCATTGTTGTAGCGTTTGTGTGGTTTCGCCAATATACCAGGCTTCAGGGCATCCTTGTCTGTCTTATATGTTGCAGGCAATGTGAGTATCTGCTGTGCACGTGATGGGTGGTGTTCCCACATGTGATGGTAGTGTCCATGTCGAAGATCTGACGTCTTGCAGAGGTTACCATGTCAGGGTTGTATAGTGTTGTGGTCGATGTTGTCCTGAAGGCTGGGTAGTTTGCTGCGAATAATGGTCTGTTTAAGGTTTGGTGGTTGTTTGCAGGCAAGAAGTGGAGGCATGGGGATGATCTTGGTGAGATGCTCATCGTCATTGACAACGTGTTGAAGGCTGCGAAGAACATGGTGTAGTTTCATGCTGTAGCATGTCGGAACTGGCGATTGATGAGTTGAGCATTGTATCCTGTTCCTATGAAGGTGTCCTTCAACACACTCAACACTCTCTCTCTCTCCCCCCCCCCCCTCCCCCCCACCCACACACACACACACACACACACACACACACACACACGTAAATCTATGGGGTGAATTTGTATTGGCAGATACATTCTATTTTGTTCAAAAAGCACACAATTTATAGACAGTCAAAATGGCATTCTATAAATTCCTACTTTAGAAATAAAACCTGTCTGACTCCAAACCAAAACACAAACAGATTCTAAACAACGCCTCGCACCTAATATGCATTGTCTGACCTGGATAATAATTGAGGCCCTTAAGTGAGTAATTAATGACGAATTATGAGCTGAAATTCAGTGTCAACAATACTAACTGAGCATTGGACAGTGCTGACAAAGCCGGAAACATGATAAGGAAAACCTGCCCTGTTTACTTACCAGGTCCCAACACAATGACCAATAATGGACTTTGGTTAGATGATGGCCAGACCTTGAGAGTGGGGGGAAGGCTGAACCTTGTGTCATGTATGTTACTAAAGTGGCACATTCCGAACTAGCTCTGATACTGCAATGTCAGGTTCTGTTAGCCCTGGTTCCTGATCACCAACCTGTTGCAATGCAGGGACAAACAGAATGACTGCAGCAAAAAACAAAAATATCTGGGACATCTCACATTACATTGAAACATCAACTTTTAAAACCAAAAGCATTGTGGATGCTGTAAATCAGGAACAAAAACAAAGTTGCTGGAAAAGCTCAGCAAGTCTGGCAGCATCTGTGAAGTAAAAATCAGAGTTAATGTTTTGGGTCTGGTCACTGGATCCGAAATGTTAACGCTGATTGTTTCTTTACAGATACTGCCAGATGTGCTCAGCTTTTCCAACAACTTTGTTTTTGTATCAACTTTTAAAAATTCAATTGTGGGATTGAGCATTGCTGGCCAGGCCAACGTTTATTGCCCACGGAGGTCACATGTTGAAACGTGCTGTCCATGGATACTTGGTGAGCTACTGCACTGCTTCTTGTAGATGGTGCACCTTGATGCTACTGTTGTCAGTGGTGAAGCGATGAATGTTGAAGATGAATTGTCAATCGATGGAGCTGCTTATCCTGTGTTGTCTGTGCTTTGGCCACTTTGACCAGTTTATGTAGTTAAAAACACGAGGATAGTGAAGAAGGCGTTTGGTATGCTTGTCTTTATTGGTCAGTGCATTAAGTATCTGTATAGGAGTTCGGAGGTCATGTTAGTTAGGCCACTTTCGGCATTCTGCTTTCAGTTTTGGTATCCCTGCTATATGAAGGACGTTGTGAAACTTGAAAGGATTCGGAAAAGATTTACAAGGATGATGCCAGAGTTGCAAGGTTTATACTATAGGGAGAGGCTGAATATGCTGGGGCTGTTTTCCCTGGAGTATCAGAGGCTGAGGGGTGACCTTGTGGAGGTTTATAAAATCATGAGGGGCATGGATAGGATAAATAGTCAAGGTCTTTTCCCTGGGATGGGAGAGTCCAAAACTGGAGGGGCATAGGTTTAAGGTGAGAGTGGCAAGATTTAAAAGGGACCAAAGGGGCAACTTTTTCATGCAAAGGGTGGTGCGTGTACAGAATGAGCTGAGGCAGAGGCAGGTACAATAACAACATTTTAAAAGATATATGAATAGTAAAGGTTTAGAGGGAAAATGGCTGAATGCTGCCAAATGGGACTAGATTAATTTAGGATATCTGGTCGGCATGGACGAGTTGGATCAAAGGGTCTGTTTCCCTGCTGTACAACTCTATTACTCTATGACTCAATTTACCTAAGTGCACTTGTTGGTGAGGCAGACAAAGGGGCTAAAATTCAGTTTACAGTCCAACCCGATTTTATTAACAAGATATTCCTTATCAAAAAAGCCATGTAAGTATTTCCCAAATTCCACACTACTTACTTTCTGTCTAGCTCTCCCTGTCTGAGAAAGGATATTACCCTGAACAATGCTGAACTGGGCAGCTAGAACCTCCTTCCTCTCTCATGTAGGGCTGGCTATCTTCCACAAAGATGACTCTTGCAGGTCAGGGTGGATCTTCTTGGTTTTCTTGGGTTGCCGTAGGGTCTTCTGCCATGAGTCTTTCTGCAAGTCTTTCCTAAGTGGATGGTGTCACTTATCACCATGGCCCCGAACTTCCAGAATGATCTGTGGTCTTTAGCCAATGGGGTCATGAGCTAGTTTAAATCATGTAATGGAGTTGTGCCAACACCCTTCACTGTTGCCATGCAGGGAGGTTTAAAGTGTGCACATCCAGGCAATCGAGATGCCAGAAAGTTTGGTCGACACTTCTCCAATAAACAATCCTTGGGCTACTTGTAACCAGTTCCCCCAAACCTTTGAAACCTCTTTGAGCTTGGTTTCCACTGTTCTGTGTAGCCAAAAGCTGCTTGCTGCTTATTAATTTAGTTTCGCCAAATTCTTGTCAGGCCTGGTTTCTTCTGCTGTGGGAGATGTCCAATTTTGGGCTCATGGTCATTTGGTGTTGAGTTTCTGAGTGTTATTGGAGCTGTACTCACCCAGGCAAGTGGGGAATACTCCATGACACTGCTGATCTATACCTTGTAAATAGTGGACAGGCTTTGGTGAGTCAGGAGGCTTTGGGGAATTTCCAGCCTCTGCCCTGCTCTTGTAGCCACTTTATGTATATGGCTAGTTCAATTTTGTTTGATTTATTACTGTCACGTGCTTCGAGATACAGTGAAAAGTATTGTTTTCTGTGCCTTATGTAACAACATCAGGGTAATAAAACAGAACACAGAATATAGTGTTACACTTACTTAGAAGGTAAAGAGAAAGATCAACTCTAATATATGA